TAGAAGATCCAGCACAGGAGTATGGAGGAGCCAGTGTACTTGGGGGCTTTCATTTCATCTTTACCCACCTGGAGTTCATAGGGCTGATGGTGATGGTCTGGAAGATACTCCAGAGGCAGGTGGTGCCCATGGACACGCCCCAAGACAGAAAATAAGTTGACATCCAATGTCATGGAGGAAATCATCCCACTCAAAGGCCGGTATCGCCTGGGGAACTCCTTCAGAGAGAAGGACTGTGGTGGTAGCTACAGTCAGATGTCTGTGAATCAAATCTGTGGACCTTAACCTCCATCTAGAGAAGAGGAGAAACATATAATGGTAAAATAGAAAAAAAATTCCCTAGATTCCCAATAAAGTCCGTGATAAGAAGATCATTCCTATTGTCAAATACTTGGAAAACATTCTCTCAGTTCTCGGTTACTCGGATTTGTCTTCAGGCCAGAAGGTCCTGCGTGGGAACATGAGACATGGACAACATGTATCATGTCAACCAAAATTCACTCTTCTCCAGCTCCCATTCATTCTTACTTAGAAACACTTCCTTAATGCTTTGAAATCAATTCATTCGTTAATGTTAGCAGTTTCATTGACATATAATTCACACACTATGCAATTCAATAGTTCAGTGTATTAAAAAGAACTGTGCAATCATCACCATAATCAATTTCAGAACATTTTCTTCTCTCTTGTATTCATTGTTATTAGCTTCCTATTTCTGCTCAACCTCCTCTGCCATGCTTCCAAGGAACTATTAATCCAGCTACTGCCTTTATAGATTTACCTGTCTTGGATTTCATATACAGAAAAACATACAAAATAAAAACAAAAACAAAACAAAAAACCCCATCAATAATGACAAAATAAAACAGACAAACTGACAATAATGACTAATGAAAACCTCAATTGGAAAGAAAGTAGAAAAAATACTGAAAACTAGAACAAATTTAAAATGGGCCAAAGGTAGATCAAATGATAAGGTGTTAAATTTTAACCTAACTATGCCCTCAATAACCCACTTGCATACCTATTCAAATCCCTGGTCTATAATCAAAGGTGATTCACCCGAGGCTTAATCCATGCAGGGACTCTGCAAATGGATCTTGGGCTTTCACTGTCATTCATAGCTTTCTTCAAATCAGGGTGCTCAGAATTTAAGTTCTAATGCTGTTCCCTCTTCCGGTCTTAGGTTTTATTATTTACAACCCTTGGATCTCACAGGTTGGAGTGCTTCCTGAGTGTGGACTTAGCTGACATATCAGTTAGATAGCTGCTTGTTTTAAGACAAGTCTCTAAGACTCACGACACCTTTCTGATACCTGGACACCATCTCATTTCTTCACCATACTTTGCTATAGTATCCATCTTTAATAATCTCTTCATGAGAGCAAGTATCAAGTAATACATTAAATGATTTATTTTTTATTAAGAGGGTTGCAAGATTATACAACTTGTGTAGAAATTGTTGAATGGTGTGCTTCTTCCATATGGGCTTTGTTGCTTCTCAGCTGGCCGCTTGTTTACCTGAGGATAGAAGGGATCAGGTAGCAGGCACCAAAGAACAAAAATCATCATTGTGTGCTCACCTTCCCCATACAAACG